CGCGGGGGTCGCGGGCGGCGGACGGAGGGTTCGGGGCGTCCGCGCTGGCTGAGCCTCAGCGCCGACTCATCGGCGAGGGAAGCCCCGCCCACGCCGCCTCGCCTGCCTAGCAACAGTGTGCGCCGGCCAATCGGAAATTCCGGCCGGCCGCCGCCTCGGCCAATGAAAGAAAGCAAAAAACGAGACAGACGGCTCCGCCTAAGCCCCGCCCCTCCGTGTGCCCTGGCCAATCGTCACCAGCCAGGCGCCACTAACGGTAGCCAATCGCAGAGGGGCTTACCCTCCGAGCGACAGCTCCTGCGCGGCCAATGGCGAGGAGCCACCGACGGGAACATGCGGGAGGGAAGTCCCGCCTCCACAGGCACCGCTGATTGGGCGGCTCCCGAGGGCAGGGCCAATCAGAAAGGGCGTGGTGCGCACGCGCGTCTCTTCCCGCCACTCAAAGGAGCCTTGTGGTTAGGGAATGGCCGGCGCCTTGCAGGGCTCCAGTTCCGCCCTGCCCAGGGCACCGACACCTCCCACAGGACCAGGCTGCTCACAGCCCCATCCAACCTGGCCTCGAACGCGCCCAGTGATCCAGGGGTAGCCACAGCTTCTCTGGGCAACCTGTGCAGGACCTCGGCACCCTCACAGGGAAGAATTTCTTCCTGATACCGCATCTAACCCTGCCGTCTGTCAGTTTAAAACAGCTGCCCCTCATGCAGGCACTTTATGCCATTGTGAAAAATCCCTCTCCAGCACTGCTGGAGCCCCTTGAAGGCATGGAGATCCTGGAGCCTTTTCCAGGCTGAATAATCCCAGCTCTCTCAGCCTATCCGCACAGCAGAGCTGCTCCATCCCTCTGATCATCTTTATGTTCCTCCTCTGTGCTGGCTCCAGCAGGTCCCTGTCCCTCCTTCCAGCAGGTCCCTGTCCCTCCTGTGCAGGGACCCCAGCTCTGGATGCTCCAGCTGGGTCTCAGCAGAGCAGAGCAGAGGGGCAGAATCCCCTCCCTCCCCTGCTGCCCACGGGGCTCTGGATTCAGCCCAGGACGTGCCAAGGTGTTTTTCTGAAGGAGTTGTAGGACAAAGCCCCTCTCTGTCCCTCCGGCGTTCAGAGATAGCTGCAGCAGCTCCCACCTTGCATTCCTCCTGAGTTCTGTCATACTCTCTTTCATCTTCCCTCACTCCTCCTTTGCCTTGCAGCTTCCAGGCACCCCTTCACTCCTGTGGGAGGCAAAGCTTGCCAAAGGCTTGGGTAATGGTGTCAGGGGACCTACCTCATCCAAAAAAGCTCCACCAGACACTGGGCAGGGACATGTGCTCCTTCACCCCTGCGGGTGGCAGGCCTGGAGCAATGGTACAGGCACAGACCCTCAGGACCACAGGGAACACACAGGTGTGGGTCTGGACTCTGCTGCTGTCTCTGGCTAGTGCAGCATTATGAAATTCAGACCTCAGAGCCATGTGCTTCAGACAAAACCACTTCTCTGGGCTCCAAGCCACAGTAACCGAGCAAAAAGCCAGCACACGAAGCACTGATAGGACAGACCACCAGCTGCCTGGAGCCCGAGTGCAGAGCCAGCCCCACCATGGACAGGGCACAGAGGACAAAGGTATCTCTACCCTTGATCTCTTACACACCTAGGGCACACAGCCCATGGGCTCTCAGTAGCTGGAGGCAGTGTCAAGGCCACAACTGCAACATTTCACTCTGGAAAAAGAGCATGGAAAAACCCAAAGCTAAGCAGAGCTTGAGTTTTTTATTACAAAAGGAGATCTATTCTGTTTCAGTCCTTTGGGAATCCAGTTTCATCACAGAGTAATTCAGAGTCTTGAAAGAGTCCTTAAAGGCCTTGTGCCAGCCAAGTGCAGGGAGACCTAAGCAGATGGATATGGTGGGCATGACCAGGTCAGCTTGAGGTGTCCTGGGCTGCTGCCCTGAGGTAATCCTGTATGCTTCTGGCAAGAGGTTCACTGTGAGGGAACATCGCCTGCTCCAGACATGAAACCAAGTACAAAGGGAGGGGCCTGCAAGAGAAGGGAACATGGCAGCAGTGAGGACTGCAGCATTCCTTTGCCATGCCCTAAGACCCCCCTGCTCTACCTGCAGCCTGTGCCCTCCCCTTTTGGCTCCATGCCAGCTCTTCTGTACCCCAGGAAGTCACACAACCTGTGGCCTGTCTGAGCAGTCATCAGGGGAAGCTCCTTGGACACCTACACTTCCCTCACAGCTTGACAGACAGTTTGCACTGCTGGACTTGAGATCTCACCCATCCCTCTACATACCTTCCCTGCCCTTGCTGCTGCCCATCCTGTCCAGAGGAGCTCTGGGAGAACTTCTGCCACTGAGCAGCTGCCTCCTGCTTTCGGTTCAGCTTCCACAAGGCCTGCACCAGGTAGGAGGCAGCACCTGGGTCACCTGCAAGACAGGAAGAAGGATCAGCCCTTATCAGAGAAGGAGCAAGTCTTCAGCACTGCTGTGGGTTACAGGGTATTACAAAAGAAACTAAGAAGCCAGACGAGGGCAGTGAGTGTAAGGAGAGGTGGTATAATGGGGATGAGGCCATCCTGGCTGTGTCACAGGCTCTAATTAACCCCAGGGCTGGCAGCCAAGGCAGATGGCATCAGCCCTGCGGCACAGCCTGCCACACCTCTGTTTGGACACAGACTGGGGTTTTCCTTGTAGGTACATCCACACCCCAAAGGGAGGAAGCCATGGGCAGAACCGGGACCAGCAGGTCTGACAAATCCTGGTGAAGCTCACACCTTTTCAGCATGCCACAGCACTGAACAGGAAAGAGCAGCCCTGTGAGCAGCAGTAGCCATGCCTTTGCCGAGCTCAAGACACGAATGCTCCCTTTGCAGGCCTCTGCATGGCCAGGCATGGACATGCTGCTTCCTCAGGTGAAGCACAACTCCACTTCTCTGTTCTGGAACAGCAGACCTGTCTGGGATAAAGCTGGCTGTACCAGGCTGGGGTCAAAGCAGGAAATTTCCAAGCTATCTGAGGGCACAGGTTGGTGTCAGGGTTCTGACAAGAGTTTTTGGGTCTGTTTCTCCATGGCAGACCAGGCCCCACAGAAGTATCTCTAGTATGCAACATTGCTATTGGCCCTACTGTTGTCTTGGACACCTGAATAAATGCAGTATAAAACATAAGAACTTCCTGCTGAAGACAGCAAAGCAGCCCAGGATAAATCTGTGGAAATCCCTTGTGTTCCTCACCAAAATGAGCCTCTTACCTGGTGAGATCTGCAAACTGTGCTGGAAATCCAACAGGGCTTCTTTGTGCCTCCCCAGCTCCAGGAACTGTGTACCTCGCCCAATAAGAGAGAGCAACCTGATTTTCTGGAGCACCGCCACTTCTGGCTGGAGATTCTCTGTCAAAGGAAGACACACACACCTGAAGACAGTATCCTCCAGATGTTCTCTCCCTTGTTACCAGCAGGCTGAGCCAGGTTAGCAGTCAGGACTGGCCAAGTATTTACTTGGGCTACTCATCTTCCAGCTCCAGAGACAGATGGCAAAGCTCAGCCTCTCTGCCAGGCTGGAAGAGGTCGGGAGGCATCAGAAAGAGTGAAGAATGTCAAGATTCCAGAATGTTACATGGCTGTGGTGAACAGTGACCTCAGCAGCAGCCTGACCTCTGCACCACTGGCATGTATCTTTTCCCCAAAAACTGGGTTGGAGAAGCTTCCCAGTTCACAACCCATTTAACTGCTAACTAGTCAGTGAAGAAGGAGGCAGAGCCAAGGTGAAACTCTGCTCCAAAAAAAACCAGTCTCTTCAGAGGTTTTAGCATGGCCCAGAACTTTACACCCTGGGACAACTGCCTCTTGCCAGAGTGATGCTGAGCCCACCACCTTGCCCCTGTACCTGCTGCTGCTGCCAAGGACACAGATCCCAACCCAGCTGAGGCCCCACACAGGTCCCACCTGTGTGGTGTCCTACCTGTCTGTCTGATGCCAGATCCATGAAGCTGGACACGCAGGATATCACTGAGGCACCTGTGGGTGGGAAGCCAGAGGAATTTTGGAGCCAATCCTGGGCTGTCAGGTGTGTCAAGTTGTCAGGGTAGCCCCAGTGCCATGCTGTGTCCTGCCCTGGCCCCACCATCCACTGCTGGCTGCTGGGGAGGCCCCTCCTCCCAGCAAGGGTTTATTACCTGCTGAACTGTGTTATAGCTTCCTTGCTCTCGCCTAGCTTGGCCCATGCCCAGCCTTGGTGCAGGTATCCAGCTGCTCTCCAGGCAAGACAGCACAGGCTCTCCTTTTGGGACAGGAGTGCACCTGCCAGTTCTGCCCCTGGCAATGAGCACTCTGGGTGCTGCAGAGTCTCCTCCACTCGTAACACACGTGGAATGTGGTCAGTTGTCTGTCTGATGACTTCCTCACACACAGTTATGGCATCCTGGTGCCTCCCAGCTTGCTCCAAGGCAGATGCTGCTTCCAGGAACACCACTGGGATTCTGGGCAGAGCTGAGCTACCATCCAGGGGCACCTGGGGAGCAAAAGTGACATCAGTGCTGCAGAACTGCAGAGTTCTCAGCCAAGCAGAATGACTCTTTGCAAACTGTAACGTGGAGCTGCTGCCAAACAAAGTTCAAGCCCTCTCCCACAGTCACTGGAGCCTGGTGGGGCAGGCAGAAGATGGGGAGCACTCACAGCTCAGCAAAGTCAAGGCATCAGATCCCTACTCTGAAAGTGAAATCCAAAATCAGACTGACAGCTGCTCCCCACAGGGAAGGGGAAGCTGTCCCTCCGAACAGCAGTAGTGAGTGCTCTGATGTGAATCCAAAGGCAGACATGCCACAGACTGGGGGTGCCAGCCCCCACCTCATTTCCTTCACATCTTAAACTAGACTCTGAAGCCTGGAGTCCAGGGCTGATGCCTGGGCCCAGCCCCTGGGACTGGGTTTGGATCCCTCCAACCCTCATCCTCCAAGTCACCAAGTGAGCTCTTCACCAGGACACCTACCTGCTGCTGCAGCCCCTCCTGAAGGAGAGACAGAAAATCCAGGTAATGTTCCACTGCATCAGCCACCCTGCAACAGGAACATGACATGTGGTAGAAAGAGAAGTGCCATCAGCCAGGTGAAACCTGGATTGCCAGCCCGCAGTCTCTCCCTCTGCACTACACTCGCCCTGTTCACAATCTCCATGATTTGAGCACACTTATGACAGCAGTACTGAACTGGGCCATTTCCAGGAGCACAAGGAAAACTGCAGAACCCAAACAAGCAGCATGTTACAAACAGACCAGAGGTACTGTTACCTCCCATCCTGGAGACACCGCTGTGCTAGAAGGTACTTCACTTCAGAGGGGTGGTGCTGGCGAAGGAGAGAAGTGAGTACTGGCGTGTGGACAAGCAGCTCCGTTCGCATTAGGAAACAGGGACTAGAGGAAGCAGCTGCTGGAGGGTTTTTTCCCAGAGCCTGTGAAACAAGAACAGAAAATGGTCAAGTCTCAGGCAGCTGCAATCTTTTGTCACTTCTGATATCTACAGATGCACCCAGGCAAGCAGAAGTGGTGCACTTCACAAGCACAGCTACATTATTCTCACAGCCATTTCCAGCAAGAGCCATCAGGATTACACAGGGTCAGGCAGACTTCTGATCTCCACATGGCACCAGGAGATTTTCAAGATCACCCAGATCACCTCACGTTTTTAGTTCAAGGTGCTTTGAGCTGCCTGGAACACCATCTCCCATTGCAGCCACAGACCTAGTTAGACCATTTGTAAGGAGAGAGTTCCCTCCCCTCTCTGTGTGTATCTGACAGTTTTCAAACAGCTGAAGAGATAATTCAGGGTCTACTGCTATGACCGACTACCCCAGGCAGGTGAATGCACACTGCCTCACTGCAGCCAAAATCTGCCCTTAAAGCCCTCTTTTACATTACATACTTACTGAGTATGTAATGTAAAATGACTTAAATTACATACTTTACTAAGAGATCGGTACTTTCTGACCTGAGAATATAAACCCCCAATCCACCACAAACATGAACTAGGACCCAAGGTCTTGCCACATCCAAACATGGTGCTGAGCAGGAATTTCAGATCTTGCTGGACTCCTTCCTGCCACTTGCTGAAGGCAGCACCATGCTATTTTGAGGACCCTTTCCATGGTCAAGCAGCCTCCCAGAAGGAAGAAGCCTGCTTGAAACTCTGTGCAGGCTCTGCAGGGCAAAACTCATCCCAGAACTACGGGAACCAGACAAACCTTGTAGAGCAGGGTCAGGGCCTGCAGCTCCGCATTGGTCTCTCCCAGTTCATGGTACACTGCTGCCACGTGGGACAGGGCAGGAAGGCACTGGAAATCTACCTGGAGGGCCCGTTTCAGGTGCTGAAGGGCTGTCTGAGGCTTGCCCTGGGTGGGTGGGAAGACATACATATTGAAAGGATATCTGGCTGATGTTTTTATTGTTTGGTGGGATCCAGATTCCTGCTCTGCTTCCCCAAGAGATCCCCACTAAGCAGGGCAGCACTTTAGCCAAAGGCAGCCCTCCTCAGATTGGTTTTTGAACTTCTCTCTCTGCAGCAACACTTTTCAATCAGCCAAAATCTTTGCATGGATTTTGCAGCCTGTCCAAAGAGGCTTAGGCCACAAGGGCAATTTCTGCTTAAGGCCTTCCCACCCTGCAGAGGCTTTGGACCACACAGAGGCACTGTGGACATCAGCCTGAGCCTCCCTACCCCACAGCTCCCTTTCTCCTCTCTGCTGTCATTACCATTCGCTGAGCACAGCAGCCAAGACAGGTGTAGATCTGTGCCAGTATCTTCTTGGAGCAGAATCCTCCAGCAGCTTCCTGAAGGAGGGAAAGGGCAGTGGAGAAGTTCCCAGCCTCCAGCTCCTGCAGCCCTAGGACAGACCCAATATCTTGGCTCTGTGGCTCACCTTCCTGTCCCACCTGGCCCCAAACAAGTGTGGTGCCCTTTTCTTCCCAGTGCCATAGGGACTTGCCTGATCCCCGCCAAACCCAGTGATGCATAGCATGATAGTGCCAAGCTGCCATCTTTGCTTTAATGGTTTTGCAAGAGAACAAGCCACTCAGGGGAAGTGTCCAGCAGAAATAACAGAAGCTTCCAAGCCCAAGGTGCTTCCTTTGGCCCAGAACAAGGACAGGGGTATGTGCTGGGAAGGTTCACCTCCACATTCATCCCCAATGACAGCAGTGCAGATAGGGAAGCACACACAGAACCTTAGAATTTTTCCAGAACATCTGGGTCATTTCCCAGCAGGATGCTTTGAGATATCAATTAATTTATATTTACCACAACTAGTTATTTGCTTTTCCTTCAGTCTTCTTTTCAGGCTTCCTTCTGAGCGGGCTCTCACATAACAGCACCATACTCACATCTGCCACCTGCCTGCTGGGAGTGCTGGTGCCACCTTTGAGTATTTTGGCTCCAGCTCTGTGGGCCAGAGCTCCTGCCATGCCTGCTGGCAGGAAGGCCCTGCATGAGCCCAAGCACAGCGAGGCAGCGCTGGCTGTCCCCCAGGCTGCTGGGGTTGTCAAAACAGTAAAGGACAGGGCAGTAAAGAAAACAGGGCAGGACAGAACACAGCAGCCAGAGGAGGTCCATTGCCTGCTGTGACACCAAGCTACAGAGCCTCACAACAGCTTTGTGTAGCTCTTGCAGCACCATAATCTGACAGGAACAATGTGCTTGCAACAAGGCAGGTTTCAGAAGACAGACAGAAGAAAGGAAAATCTTCATAAATCCCCTGCCAGCCTTCGGTCACTGCAGGGCCCAGACACCTTGCCTAAAGTCACAGACAGCAGAGGAGCCCTGTGATAGTGCAGAGAAAGGATGAGCTGAGGAAAAGCAGGGAAGCTTTTTGAATAAGGAATGTAAAGGCTGAGACTCAAGAGACTCAACCCAGACCCACTTCCAAAGACACAGCGCAAAAAACCCCAAGGGTCAGTTTGCTTGGGAAGAGAAACCATGATAAGGGCAGGCAAAGTGGTGCTGGGACAGAGCAGCAGGAGGCTGTGCTGGCATGGGTACCTGCTGCCACAAACCTTGCAGGAAGGCTGCTGCAGTCCAGAGGATCTCCTTCAAGTCCTTGGCACTCTGTACAAGGGGTAGGGAGGTCTCCTCAGGAGGGACCCGCCATGCCTTGATCATGGAGAGGAGTTCATTCTGCCCCTCATTGCAGTGAGCTCTTTCTGGGTCCTGTGAAGGCACAGAGGAGAGAGAGCAGGGAATGCTGAAGGGAAGCAGGAAACACTGGTCCGAGGGTACAGAGATACAGGTCCCACCAAACCACTCAACACAGCTCCCTGCAGTGGGAGTAAACCGGGGAGCAATGTCCTACCATCTGTCCACTTCAGCTACAACCCCCTTACTGTCGTGATTCCTGCCTGGCATGGGGCATCACCTCCCCACCTCAGAGTAGGGTGCACCTCCAGGGCCTCCAGGCATCCAACAGATGGCTGTTGAAGCTTGTTCAGAAAGATGGGACCCATCACCAGCCCTTTGATCAGCAGGGAAGGTTCTGCATCCCACTGCTGCTGCCTACAGAGTCTGCAAGTCCATCTGCAGCCCTATTCCAGCCTGCCCAAGTCTTCTGTCTGACACACAGAGGTCCATGGCCCAGACAGACAGAATATTCTGGGATCCATTAAGTCACTCAGGGCCATTAGGCTATGCTGGGATTCCAAGGGGAGGATTGACTGACTGGGCAGCACTGATGGTTTCAGCTGTCCAAGTGCCACAACAACATTCTGCAGAGTGAGTTTTATGACAAACACAGTATTTATGCCAGCTCTGCCGGCATCTGCCTGTGCCCCGTTACCTCAGCAGTGCTCAGGAGATGGAAGAGGCCAGCAACACTTCTCAGCTGGCTGGCTGCCAGCCACCAGGCTGCTTGCAGGGCCCCGAGGCGGTGCAGAGGTGCCTGCAGCTCCTCTATGGTTACCTCCTGTAGCACCTTTTCCCACAGCTCCTCTGTGCCAAGATCCTGTCCACAGGCCCCACAAGCCTCCAGAACTGAAAAATAAACCCAAGCAAAAAGACCTAGAGCTGTAAGACAATGAGTTGGTGCCCTGTAACAGATGCCCTGGGTGCAACAGGGAGAGAAAGCCTCAAGCAAGCACAGGCTCCTCATAGCAATGGAAGGAATGGGGTTGCAGGGCTGGCCTGGCCTCAGCAGAATGGAAAACAAGCTCTAAAAGAGTGGAGCTGACAGCAGCACACTCAGGAGAAAACACACAGCACAACTTAGACATAGACTCCAGCTCTGCTGAGCCCTCTTGAAGTCATTTTCCCTCAGGTAAGCATGTGCCAACACTGCAGATCCACCTCTGAACTACAGCTTGTTTCAGTGAGTTTTCTTTGAAGACAGCACACCATAATTAAAGAAAACAATAATTTTCTACTGTCACAAAGACTTTGCTAGAGACTTGGCACCTTAAAAGTTAAAACATTAGAAACTCTTGTTTCCCTTGAAACCTCCAGCCCATCCCTGCAGGCGAGAACAGGCAGACAGCTGCACATTGTCCCTGGCCACATGCCACTCCACCTCCAGCCCTTATAGGCAGAGCCTGGATGTCTGCTCAGTTCCCCCCATCTCCAGCTTTTCCAAGCACAGTCAGATGTGCCTGCCCAGTTTCCAGGTGGAGCCAGGCGTGTCTGTTCAGTTTCCCCAATCTCTGGCCTTCCTTGGCAGAGCCAGGACTGTTTGCTCACGGTTCCCACACCTCCAGCCAGTCACCAAGTATCTCCAGAGCACAGAGAATGCTCTCCTCACCCCAAGAACTCCCCACACAAAGAACCACATTCTTACCCCTGAGGAGCCCCTGGCGTATTCCTTCTGCTTCTCCTTTGATGGCAGAGACAGATGCTCCCACAGTGAAAAGCAGGGAGTTGTAAAGGACAGTGAGTTCCAGAGGCAGGGCAGGGAGGGCAGCTGGCAGTCCTGTGGGCACAGAACAAGAAATTTATCTGGCTAAGAATAAACAGCCGTCCTTGCTCAGATGGCAACACCTGGCTTGGCAACAAGAAAAGCAGCTTGGCAAGAAGTTTTTAGTGACTGTATTGTGATTTAGCCACTTGGGAGCTGCAGTGGCCAGACAGACAGCAGGAGACAGCACTCCAGATGCCAACACTCGTTTAGACATCCAATCCCCAGCTATCCAAATGCTGCAGTCCTCTAGCAGCTGGGCCTTTCAGCTCTCCCAGAAGAGCATCACAGCCTAATCTGTTCCAGTAGGTATCCTTGCACACACTGTGTTTCTGTCCTTAGCACAGAACGGGTAAGCCTGGAAAGGACCAGAGTGGCTCATCTGGTCCAACCTCCCTGCTCAAGTATGGCCATCTTAAAGCACATGGCACAGGACTGCATCCAGATTGTTTTTGAGTATCCCCAGTGAGGGAGACTCCTCAACCTCTCTTGGAAATTTGTTCTGATGTGCAGTCATCAGGGTAAAATTATACTTCATGTTCAGGTGGAACTTCTGTGCATCAGTTTCTGCCCATTGCTTCATGTCCCAGTGCTGGGCACCGCTGAGCAGAGCCTGGTCCATCCTCTGACCCCACCCTGCAGGCACTGACAGACATTGATGAGGTCCCCTCTCAGTCACCTCTGCTCCAGACTGAACATGTCCAGATCACTTAGGCATTCCTTGTAAGAAGGCTGTGCCAGTCCCCTAATATTCCTTATTTCCCTCTGCTGGACCCTCTCCAGGAGCTCTGTGTCTCTCTTGCACTGAGGAGCTGAGAAAACTGTAAATAAGGCTGCCTCACATCAGGCTTTCTCTGCGTCACAACTGTGTCAGGGAGCCTCTTCCCTCACTTCCCACGGAAAAGGCTGCCTCATTTTTATTTTTTACAGAAGTCCCAAGGCTCTGCCCAGCAAATTAAGGTGAAGTATGGACCTGGACAGTAACTCTTTTGCTGGCCCAGATGAGCATAGGGCAACAGGGACCATTTCACCCTAGCTTGCAGGTGCTATCCAGGGATACTGGAGCTACAACCGGAGGAGCAATATTCATAAGCTGAAACACAAGAAGCTCCACCTCAACTTAAGGAAGAACTTCTTTACACTGAGGGTGGCAGAGCACTGCAACAGCTGCCCAGGAAAGTCCTGGAGTCTCCTCTCCAGAGACATTCAAACCTCACCTGGATGCGTTCCTGTGTCACCTGCTCCAGGTGACAGAGGAACACATCCAGAGGGGTTTGGACTGGGTGATCTGATGTTCAGAGGCCCCTTTCAACCCTGATGATTCTGTGATTTAACTCCTTTGCAGGCGCCGTTCAGCACTAGGCAGTGGGAACCGTTTCACCCCGCCCCCTTCACGCGTTTTTTTTCCAGCACCGGGATGCCGGAGCTGCATCCTGGTAAACAGAGGTGTCAGGGAGCCGGCGCTTCCACGCCCACACGCTTCAGGCCCGGGACTACAGTGGGAGGTGAAGGCGGGGCGCGGCGGCCGCCACTCACCGCGGATGCTCAGGAGCAGCTCCCGGAACTCGTCTCGCTGC